GCGTGGTTTTGGAGAAATTGCTTATTATGTTTAGTTCCCGCTCTTTTGCGCTCACAATTGGAAACTAGCGAAAGCGAAAAATTGGGATTGCAGATCATGCAAGATATTCTTACTACGAGAATAGCAGCAGCGGATCGCACGAACAAAATTTTCAGTTACGTCTATAAAGAGACTCTTATACCTTTCCACTACTTTTAAGCGCACTCTACTCAAAAAAAAAAAAAAAAAAAAAAAAAAAAAAAAATTAAAAAAATCGATTGTCTTTTTGTTTCGGAAAAGAGAGGAAATTCCATAAATTTTCAATTAATAATAATAAGGTTGTCTTGCGTTTTTTTTTTTTTGTTTTTTTAATTTTATTTATTAAATTTTTGATATAATATTTATGAAATTTACAATAAGTTATAAATTCTTAACATATTTTCTTTTATTTATTTATTTACTTTTTTTCTTTATACACATTGCCCGCATAGGAGACTGAGATGATTTGAATCAGAGTCCGATGTATGCTTTTCGTTTTTTTTTGCTTCTTTTTTTTGTTTTTTTTCTTTTTTTCTTTTTTTTTTTTTTTTTTTTTTTAGGCGCCTATAAACCTTACCTTAGAATAATCGATTTTTGTTCTCTTAAAAATTTATATTCATAATTAATTAGGGCAATTACTGTTCGTTTGCAATGTAAAACAAAACATCGTTTTTCGAATCAGCGATGTTCGATTCATTTATTCAAAATATTGAAGCAATATCGAAATATATACAATTGCTCTAAAAATTAGTAACGAGAATGATTTTTAAATAATCATTACGAGTAGTAATCACTGAATCAATTAACGACTATCCTCTTCTCCTATTCACCTCCTTCAGTCACATATATATTCTTTCTTTTTTCTTTTTCTTTTTTTTTTTTTTTATATACATATATTTATATATTGCATAGATTACTAATTATAACTTATAGTATTCGGTATTTCAATACTTCCCTTTGAAATAACATTAACAATAATTGAAGGGGGATCAACAGAACACCGTTGTCTATCATGGATTCCTCTAAACGAGAATTTTTACTTGCTGCATTGAAATGCGATTTTCATTAGAGATTCTTCCCCTTAAAACTCGAGAATTTCGCTTTAAGTAGAAAGCAATTTCTTGTATCTGAGGCACGGAAAACTAATCTAAGATAAATAGTTCAACATTCCCTGACTGACGACTCATGAACAAATTGGAGCGAATTTTCGATCTGATCCTCTACCTAAGCGATATTTTTCTCGTAAATTTTGCTCGTCACAGTGAATTGTTTTCATGTCATATTGGAACACCTTGGCTTCGGTTTTTCTACTTTTTTTTTTTTGCTTGAATTTATTTTTAGCTGTACATCGGTCGCCGCGTGTCGCATAGCTTGTGAAACAATAACTTCATTGTGTGATTGATTTGATATGACACCTGTACATACATTTTTATTTAATATCGTTGAAATTTTGGATCAAGTTGTAGGAGCAGCAAAACCTTTACACCCTACCTACCTGAAAATCCGTAAAAGATTTATATGTGATTTGAAATCGGCAATTGTGTATCAAAATCTACAAGAATGATAAATATATCGGCGAGCGAATGTAACTCTGCAACTATTGCCTCTAATCGCAATGTTCGTAAAGTTGTCAATTTTGAATGAAGTAAAAAACTTTACGATAATCATAAATTAGTACAAAAAAAGGAAAAAAATTAATATCAAACGAAACTACCCTTGGGAGCTACGATAATAGAAAACTTTACCTTTATTAAGAACTCTGACTGCAACGATGGAATGGTCTCTCTCTCTCTCTCTCTCTCTTGCTCGATACTGGAGCAGATTTAGATAAACAGTGCAAATATGTGGAATACGACATATATTAAGTTAAAGTTGATGATCACCTTGACGTGGCTTTTACAAATTGGTCCACACCTTTTTTTATAAATATCTTATTTAGCAGCATTCAATAGCAAAAATAAATTTGATTACTTAACGCTTGCCATTTCCATCCATTTTCCCAAAGGGAGGCTTCACAGACCCTTTAAGTATATATATTCTTGATCAGCGTGAAATTACGAAGAGATTAAGCCATGTCTGTCCGTATATGCGGTGTTTGTATTGAAAATGGGGCAAATTGGTCAGGTCAGAGGCCCGCACTAGAGCATAAACTGAAGGCAACTCCGTCTTTCTCAACAAAAATTTATCGGTTTTTAAAATTTGAAATTTTCCACATTTACTATACAAAACACTCTACTCATCACGTATATCATTATATAAAAATCGATGAGATCTGCCACGCCTACAAAAAAGTTACAAGTGATCACATTTCCCTTTTTTTCATTTTTTTGAGCTTCTGAGCTTATTTATTATAAGGCAAACAAGACGAAATGTTTAAAACTACTTTGTACATTTCTCAAATGAAGATATACTATCTGCCTTAAATTGACTTAATTCTGAAATGAATTTGGTAGACACCGCGACCTGGTGGATTAGTTTTTGCTTAATAATACCACCGATATGGGTATCAAATGAAAGAATTTGAAGAGTAGATTGCGAAAGGACAAGTGTGTTCATTCTACATTCATTATGGTAGATGTTGGGACATGGTTGATAAATTTTTTCTTAAAAATATCATCAATATAGGAATCAAATAAGAGGGGGTGGAAATTGGAATGCGAAAAGCTAAGTGTGCCAATTCAAAATTAATTATGGTGGACGTTACGACATAGTGAATAAATGTTTTTCTAAAAATACGTTCGACATAGGTATCAAACGAAAAGGCTTGGACGGTAGAATGCGAGAAAGTGTGTTAGTTATAATTTAATTATGATGGGCGTTACAATAGTGCTGGGTATGCGAGATTCGGCCCCCTACCGAATAAAACTTTCCTACTTATTTTTTTCTTTTTTAGCCATCACCGACACGTGGTGGCACAGTTGTTTTACCGAAACGTTTGCAACACCCGGTAGGAAATTTCAAGAGATTCGATCTTGATCGACATCAAATACTGAGTCCATTTTAGGCATATTTGTCCATATGTTTGTTATTTGGCTGTTATTGCCAGCAGGTTGGTATCGGAAACGTAGTCAAAAGCAAAAGGAAAAATTTAGGTTTTTTGAAAGAATCAGCCACGCTCACCCAATATTATAGAATATCGATATTTATTTAATTTTTTGGTTGTGCTACTTTTAAGAAAAAGTTGGAGGATTTAAGAGATGATTTGGCTTTAGTCGAATATAATTTTCTTACTAAACTTTCTTATCAATACAAGGGACATACAAATTGAATTCATCCAGAATCGTCCGCTAATCAACTGTCTTTCGTTGCGTACTATTGAGTATCACGAAAGCAAGTTGTAAGTTGTACTAAAAGCAAGTTTCTAATGAAGACGTCTAAGCAAGCAGAGAGAATGCAAAACAAGGTCTTCACTAGATCATGTTAGATAAAATTAAAAATTTTCTCTGGAACAAACTATCAGAAACTATTATTATTAAGGGTGATTTTTTTTTTTTTTTTTTGTATTTCCACCCACCCACCCATTC